TTTTTATTGTATAATTATAAGTGTATAGGACGAATATATATGTATTTGCATGTGTATATACAATTTTCTCTCACTTTATACAAACAGAAACGCAATTTATACAATTCTGTTGTATAAAGCGAGAGAGGCGAGCACAGAGGGAGTGAGCGCGAGAGGAGAGTGGCGAGCGAGAGTTTGAGGGAGAGAGGCGGCTGGCAAACAGTTTGCTACAGGACACAATTAAATCAAAGTGTGGTTATACCATTTAATTTGAATTAATAGTTTGCCATTATGTACAATTTTCCCAAAGTTTAAACTAGTGAGCTATCTGGATCCTAATTATTTAAAGGAATTTTAACCCAAATTTCAGCCCAAACATAATAAAGTGGCCATTGAGCATGCATAAGCCCAACCCAAGTAGACTTGTCACAACATTTAGGATGTGTTTCGTATGAACAAAAAAAAAGAATTGGAAAAATATTTTTTGGAGCATAAGTGATTTTCTTATTATTATTTTTTTAGTGTTTATCAAGAAAGCAGAAAATATCATCCCAAAAATACTATACATAATCTAGAAAAATAGTATTGACTATTGGGATAGAGGTGTGGGGTGTGGGTGAGTTGTTTTGAAGGTTAGGAAAAGACTGTTTCCTCATTTTTAAAGAACTTTTTTCCTTAATAAAATATTTTTCACAAATTTGACCATAAACAAAACAAAACAAGAAAAAAAATATTTAGAATAACATTTTTCTATACCAAACACTAAAGCATCCAATAATTTTCTTTACAATCAAGTGAAGAACAAACACTTTCTCAAGATATCAAAGATGCTAAAGTAAAAAGAATCCAAAATTACATATATATGAATCTTTTCCTCTCTGTTTTTTTTATTCATAACACAATTATTTAATCACAAAAAAAAAAGTCGCACAAATTATGGAAAATATGATCAACGATGATTTTCTAATGAGTTTAATACAACAAACATCAGATTTCAATGATTTAGTGAAAACAAAAGCAATCGAAGTCGTAGCTCAACACGATGAACGTTTGTTTATAACAATTGTAACGTTATTACTTGCGTGTTATATGTTTGTATTTTTTTCAGGTCGTTTATGGAAGAAGAGAAAAAATAAAAAATTGAAAAAAGTAGTATTAACAAGATCAATGTCAATGGGAGTTTTGCATGGAGGTGAATTGGCTCTAGAAAGGTTAATTGATTACCATAAAGCTAAGGCTAATTTTCTATCATTAAATTCTGCTGAGACAGAACTTGATGCTTTGCTCAATGAGGAGCGACCAGATTTCAAGAAACTACACGTAAGTAATACGCGTTAGATGCATGATATGCGTTTATATATTATTATTATTTTTTGAAAAATGGTCATATTTGTTTTTCTACTATCAGAAAAGGGGTTATATTTATCCATCGTTTTACTTCTTTTGATGTATTTGCTCTTATCGTTCAACTTTGGACACACATATTTACCTTTGAATGGTTAACTCATTTCTCTACCCTTATTATTTTATGTCGCGCCTACGTGACACTTACATCATGAATATATTTTAAAACATGAGAAGTTGATATTGTTTGGTATAAAATATGGCCCTAATAGTTTTTTTTCATTAGTTTTATGATTTTTTTTACAGAAGATCTTCATTTTATACGTAAAAAAAACTGAAAAGACTATTTTCTTCAGTTAATTTTATAAGTGACAAAAAAATCTTAATTTCTCGAAAAAAAAGGCATCGTATTGTTTGGGATTGAGCAATTTTGCATTACGTAAGAGATTAATATTATCCCGTCTTTAGAGAAAAAAGTCTTGTTTTTGTCCTTGACCCTAAAGAAGCTTCAATTCGTGGGTAATTTTAAACTATAATCACAAATTGAGACATCAAATTGCTTGATTTTTTTCTTAAAAGTTTTGGACACATGAAAACAGCTTGTTTCACTTAGAGCGCTATGTACAACAAAGGTATGAATTGAGAAAAATATGAAGGAAGACCAAATTACGTATATGAGTAAATTTGGGCCTATTTTTTTTTTTTATACATGGAAATATCGAAATGATGTAATCATCTTATTTGTTTCTGATTACGAGCTCTGTAATGAAAATAATTATGAATGTGTGAACATGTATAGTTAAAAAGAAAAATGTACTAATTATAAAATATAGTCTTAATGCATGGTGTATGATTCAAAGTGGACAATATCACACCATATTAATAATTTTTTTAAACCGTTTTAGCACAAGAAATAAAATAGTTTTTACTGTGTTTAATAGAGGTGTGTTGCAAAGATGGAGATGAGTGGAAAAGAAAGCGAAGCAGTGATGAAATTAAGGAATGCAATAAGAAAAGCTGAACCACATAAAGCTTATGAGTTTGAAATGCTACTTGTGGAAACACTTATTTACCAGGTTAATTCTTTCATTAAATAATTTATTCACTAATTAAGGTTAATTTAAATCTCATTAAACTCTTCATTTTATTGTACTAACTTTGGTTGTCATTATTTCTCTAGGGAGATTACACTGAGGCCCTACGTTGCAAATGTTTAGAGGAAAAATATATTACCGATGCAAGGCGTCCACTTTATAAGGTAACTTTATTCTTTATGTTATTGTTGAAACCAAGGCGCAAGGGAGCAAAGAGTTCATTTGAGCCTCCTTCGTTAGAGAATTATAAATATATAAAAAATATTTTTATTTAAATTTTGACTCTGAAATCAATTAAAACATTAATTAATTATCATCTTAAATTAATACTTCTTTTTAGCTTCTATTAATTAAAAGAACTTTTCATATTCTTTTACCTTTCTATAAAATCAACAGTTTTATCCTTTGGGTCATTATCAAATTATTCTATGCTTTCTTTTTTAAAATACTCAATATTTGGTGTATTTTTAGCACTTTCTACAACAAAGCAATATTCTTTTTATATTAGTTTCTTAGACTTTTGTTTTGCTCTGAATTATATTTTTGTTCTCTTTTGTTCTTTGTTTTTCATTGATTGCGTTTTCTAACTTCAGACTTTGTTTTATATTATGCTACTTATTTTGCTTGGTCATTATTTGAAATTCTCGCATCTACTCAATCTCTTCATTCCCTCCTCTATTATTTTAAGAAATTTGTACTAATTAACATAGAACATACGTACAACGCACGTGTTCGAGAACTAGTAGTTATATACATATTAAGAAATATATTAAATATGTACAAAATTTTACCGTGAGAGCCTGTTACTATTATATATTAACTTGAGATTCATTACAAACTTATAAGAAATCATAAACTTCAAATCGTGATTAATCCGTCTCATTTTGAGATTGTTTTTTTTTTTTTGCAGGCTATAATACACATCTCACTTGGGTACCGTAGATATCAAGAAGAAGCTATAAATTGCTGGAAAGAATTCAAACAAATTAGAGAAGAATTTAAAAGACCAGGCAAAGTAAAAGATGCACAACTTATTAAAATCAGCACTAAATTCGACAAATTTAAGAGTGTTGTTATATCTCTAAAGGAAGATATAAAGGAGGTTCATAGGAAAGCCAAGAAATATAAATAAATAAATAAATAAATAAATTAATAAATTAATAAATTAATTAATTAATTAATTAACAAATAAATAAATGATGCTTATTCCTAATCAATATATCTTACTGAATAAACATTGGTTTTCTTCTTTTAATTGCTCTTTTTTTTACCATTCAGTTTGATGTACTGCTTGTAATGTTAATGAATTACTATGTACTAAAGTACTATATGTTTATCGTATCGTTAAATTCAAATTTGATCACACCTAAAATCATACTTTTTTTCTCCCTCATTTGATCATAACTATAACCGTCCAAGGATGGTCAATTACATACGAGAAAATTATTATTAGAATGTACGCGTCCATTAACAGTCAATGAACTAGGTCAATAACAGTGCGGGAAGTAGATAACTGAAAGTAAAAAAAAAAAAAGATTTTATGTGGAATGGAGAAAACCAGGACCTGTTTCACGGGATTTCAGCCCAACTCCATTAACTATAAAGGAACAAAGCTTCAGATTACAGATCTCTAGTAATCTAGGAATTAAACTCTTAATCCCTTCTCCTTTACTGTAACAACTATGTTACCCAACAAAACTAAGAATTAACTCTATTGCCCACTAAACAAACTAGGTCTAGTCGATCTAGACTTCAACAACCCAATATAGCTAATTCTAGCTAAACTTCGGAAGGGTTATCAAGGATTGAAAACTGATCTAATCCCTTTATAGCTTTGGAATAGATCTTACAAGAATAATCACTGAAATATAAACTCTAACAACAACTAAGAATGATGAAAAACTCTATCAAGTCCCTTGTTGTTCTTCGAGTAACATTTTCTTGAGAGAATGACTTTTGCTTTGTGAAATTTCTGGTTGCAAAAACTTGAGTTTGTGTCAATGTGGAATGGACATAATATAGGATCATGGACACAAACTCTTTGGAGCAATGGCATTGGCTCAGAGTCTGCTGCCTGCTGCTCTGCATGAGACGTGCACCAGCCGCAGCAGGTGCGACAAAGTTGCAGGCTTTTAGACAACTGTCGTTTACATGTACAGAAACTCTCAGTCTCTCTTGGGATCTGGTTCCTCATTAGATCCCAAAGTTTGTTAAATCATCAAAACTTCAGAGTCAACTCAAAATAACAATTATATTGTGTGTACACGTCAAATATTAAATTTCAAACTCTCTTAGGGAACTTCCTAACATTGCCATTGCGTATGATTGATCCGTTGTGACAATCATATCACTCAAAAGTAATCAGAATACGCGAGTTGACATTAAAAGAAACATGAAAATAAGAGAAGAAACTAAACTCTAATCTAAATATATGATGACTTTGAAGTCTAAATTTTTCATGTCATCCCTCTGCATGTTCCTGATTTTCACAGCAGATTTCCTGGCTGAGGGACAACATGCCCGCGCCTCAATCTTCTGCAACGAAGGCATGCTTCCAAAACTCGCGGGGATCTCCTCAAGTTCACCACACCAACGCAACACCAGTTGCTCGAGACAGGGGAATGAATCAACAGACATGTTCCAATGTTTGATAGAACTATGTTCTAACTTCAATAGCCTAAGGTTAAGGAAACCACCAACACCAACTGTCCATTTTTTCCCAGTGAAGGCAGAAAGAAGTATATTAAGCACTTCCAAGTTGTGTAATGTGCCAATTGTTGAAATTTCATCCCATGAGAAACCACAACTAGACAGAGTTAACTCTTTTAGGCATTGAGGGAACATCATGTTAGTTCCACTCATTGGAAAATCGCCACGGTGATAGATACTTAGTGTTTCGAGATATATCAAACAGTTAAGAGAGCTAAACAAATTGTCCCATTGCTCCACAATAAGTTCAAGTTGGACTAAGTTTGGTGCTTTGTTGCACATTTCACATATATCATCTCCATTCACTATGACTACTTTCGAAAAGCTTTCTAATTTCTCTAACTCGAAAACACCCTCTTTTTCAACCTCAACAGTACTGTTGAAAATCATTGCTTCGCTTGTATCCACGTGCTTTAAGTTTATCATGTCCCAGATAGACCCTGGAAGAGTTAAGGTACCACTTTTTGGTCTTGCAACAAACGTTTCCAGATTTGTAAGGTTCGATATGGCTGGTGGAATCTCACTAAAATTTCCGAATATTGACAAGTACCTCAAGTGAATCAAGGATGTTATGTCCTCCAGAGCTGAAGCATCGATCACAGTGTTCCTTAAGTCCAGTACTGTAAGTGATAATTTGAACAAGTCTGAAGTGAATGCTCCACATGGTAGAATGAATTTGTTCGTTTCACCGTCAGTTAAATTGTAAAATTCATTAATGTTGTGGGCATGTAACCTCAAAGTATGGACACGTTGTGTCGGATGAAGCCACTTGATGAAGTGCTGCATTTTCGAGCAAACCAGGAACCGTTGAACATCACTAGCTGAATTAGAAGTAGCAGGATCAAAAGCATGAGATCTGAAAGAAAACGAAGAATAATGAGATACTAGACATAATATATACATCACTACAAGAAAAAACACTATTTGTGATGGAACTCTGTCACAATTCCTCACAAAATTTGAGCATTACAAAAGTTTTATAACGACGAATAAATGAAAGAACACTTCTTACCTATCAACTTTCAGCGAAAAGTTCTCTTCTTTAGCTTTATTCAAGCAAAAATCTTGCACCAAATCATGAAGACAAACTGATTTCATATCACCAAGTGGAAATCTCTCCGCAACCACGACAAGATTGCTTGTTATTAGATCAATCAAATAGTCCATCGGGACAATCTCTGCACTCCTCACCTCATTATTCTGTACATAACCTTCAGCAGCCCATATCCTCATCAACTTCTTAACTGAAACTTCCTCATCCTCAAGAAACATACCAAAGTAACGAAAACACAGCTTCAAATAACTAGGCAAATGCTTGTAACTCAACTCTATTATGTCCATGTACCACTCTGCCTCACCAGCAACTTTTGCACTTGCACTTAACCATTGAGCAACTTTAGTCCAATAGCCTTTTTTCTTATCCAATCTTGCAAGAAGACCCCCTATTAATACAATTGCTAGAGGCAGCCCTGCACAACTTTTCGCTATTTGCTTCCCTATTTCCTCAAGTTCTTGAGAACAGCTATTTTCTTCCTTAAAAACTATGTTCCTTAGTAGCAACCAACTTTTATCTTCCACGATAAAAGAAAGACGATGAGTATAGCAAAACGAGTAATTTACAGATGAGTTAACCAGTTCATCAAGCCTAGTAGTTATGATAATTCTACTCCTGCTGTTGTTATTTGGGAAAAAACTTACTAACTCATCATATATAGCAGTGCTCCATACATCATCTATAACTATGAAATATCTCCTTTTCTCAAAACACCTTTGTACTTGTTGGATTAATTCATCTTCACTCATCTCAATTTCAACGCGGCGTTCAAACTCATAGCCTAATAGTTCAAGCAATATTTTTCTCCTGTCATATACTTTAGAGACACAAGTACACCATGAACGAACATCAAATCGATTGACTATGTTTTCGTGGTGATATAACTTTTTGGCAAGAGTTGTCTTACCATGTCCTGGCATACCAACAATCGCGATAACGCCTAGTTGATCTGTTCCACCAAGAATATTCTCCATCAGCAGTTGTTCCTCTTCCTCAAAGATCACCATTGACTTTGATGACAACTCAATTGTGATAGGTAACATCTTGGTTCAATTAATGTATGATCTTGATCAATGCCTCTTAGTTTTTGGCACAATGGCCAATTAGTTGAATATTGTTACTAGAAATGAAGCTAGGAATTAATCAATGAAATCAACAATACACAAAGGTAAAAGGGGAATTGAGATCAAACATGTAGGGTAGTTGGGGTGTGATGGCATGGATTAACGTACGTCTCGGATTCAAGCAATTGAGAAACTTATGATAAAGAGAGTTGAAAAATATTCCAAGAAGTTTGAAAACAATGAATTGCCTGTTGAGAATCTTGATAGCTCGGTTGATTGGTTATTTGAATTTTGACGTTTTTAGTGAGGGTTCAATCGTCATGTAATAAAACAATTTAAAAAAAATTAATGTCCAGCTCAAATTGTTCTAGATTGTGCACTGTGCACATGGTTACTGCACCACTACACGACTATATGTTGCCGTTAGTTCAATTTTATACAATTTCTTAGATGTTTAGTTTAGTTGGTAGAAAATAAAATATGTACAATTGATAGAAAAGTTTTGTCTTAGGTTCATAATATAACTTTAGTGACTTCTGACTAAAAATATAAAGAAAGGTTTTTGCTTTTGGTCAAATATTAATAGCGATTTTTTTTTTTTTTTATATTTTTATTGGTAAAGGGTCGAAAGTGCATTTGAATAATGGAAAATGAAATAACTATGCCTTCCGTTAAAATTAAGTCCCGAATCTATTTATGTTGTTACCAAGATATATAGCTTAAACGTACCCTTCACGTTAATATCTGAGATTAGTTATTCTATTATCTATGCATTTCATTATTTTTTTTCGCATTTCATTTTTTTTAGTTGTTACTGTTTGCAACAAAATTTAAAGTGACAAGAAAAATAAATTGCTATCACAAATAAAATATGAAGGAAAATGAATATTTATTGATAAATAGTGCGGATACAATTTTGTTTTCTCCGTGATTCTTCTCTCATAAGATATTTATTTATGATTCACCATTTGTGGCGTATTTCTCAAACTAGGATGATTTGAATTTGATCTCCTAATGAATATTCATGACTTTTGCGGGACATTTGAGATGCTTTAAGGGAATATAGTGTCACGCCCCAAACTCGAGGGGCGCAACTGGCTCCTAATGCCAAAACTCAGGCCCGAGCCGACCCTGCTAAACCATTTGCTACTAGCATATGACAGCCACACACAATCAAGAAAACAAACAAGTATATCTCACCCTCGGCCGGCAAGACCCCTTGTCAACTGATCTATAAAAGAAACAGCTACTTCGAGGAGATTATATAAATAAATAGCCAACTAGCACAAAAGTCTTGATTGGGCCGTCGAGGCCACTATGATATCTATACCAAAATTAAAAGCAGGTATATATCATTACAATACATCAAACAGCTCACAAGCTTCAGCAAACCAACAACATAGGCCAGTATGGCCATAACGTAG